CTGTTTTGTCACCTGTTTGTCCTTTGGCAGCSCTGCTCCCGGGATGTGGAGTGCTGTGGGGAGCAGCTCTGCGTGTGGGGACAGTGCCACAGATCCATCTCCAGAGGGGACAACGGCACCATTTGTGAGAAGCAGCACGACTGCARCCCTGGCACTTGCTGTGCTTTTCAGAAAGGTAACAGAGCTTCATCCTGTTCATCTCATCCTCAGGAGCATTGAGATTTGGCTCTTTCCAGCCCAGGGCAAGTGGTTCCATCTCTGCAGAATCAACAGGTTGTTCTCCCTTGCTCTGTGGAATGCACTGTGTTCAGTTCATTATAAATTTTGGTAGAATTAGGAGTGAGGAACAGCCTGATGGGGTGCACACTGCTGCCTGTTGCACACTAGAGATGAGACCAACTGCAGAAGCTCAGAAATTTGTATTTCTGAAGAGGAATCTCAGACATTTAAAAGCAGCAGAGCTCTATGTCAAGTTTTCACACAGTAGAGTGAAAACAAGAGTGAAAAAGGTGCAGAAGAAATGAATGAGCTGACTGAAAGGGGCTTCTCCCTCCTACCAGCAAGCAGATGGAAATGTTTTCATGGTTTGAAACTGGAAACCGATAGGTTACATACATTGAAGCACATGTGCCCATGTGCACATATATGTATGTGTCTTTTGACAAAGTCTGGTTAAAAAACCTAATTTTGAATTCTTCTCTTATTTTATCCTGCCATATGAGTTGACTGAAGACAGGAGGAAGAAGGGATGTTTTTAGGAACATGTGGAAGAGCTGAATTCCAGACTGAGACTGGAAGTTACTGACATGAGGAAAATCCAAAGGACACAACCTTCTTAAATAATTTCTTACACAGGCTGAAGGGTGCCAAGTCAAAAATGCCATCAAACAGCTTTGCCTACAGCAGAATTACTAAAATAATATATTAAATATATGAGTTGTAGTTCTTGAGGCCATATTATTTGGTGTCTGAATGGTTGCTCTGTATTTGTAGCCTCTGCAAAGAAATAGGAAAAATAACAGTGTTCTAAATGAAAAAGGTATTTATTTAGATTTTAAACCATTAATGCTATTCATTGTAAAGGATTCACTGTAGTGTTGGTTTTCTTGGGGCTGGAACAGTGTTTGGAATCTGCAGGCAATGGAGTTGTGCTGTGCTGGCCTGACTGAGGCGAGCTGCTCTTGCYCATCAGGGATGAGCTCCACATGAGTTACTCCCAGCTAATGGAAAAAACATTAAATTGTGGCTCCCTGATATGTAAGGGGACTTGAAAAGAGACCAAGACCTTTTTAGATCTTGTACACAGAATGAAAGATGGGCTGAYAGTTTAGCAGGCAGTGATTTCTGAYGTGTTCCCTGGCCTGCAGAGCTGCTGTTCCCTGTGTGCACACCTTTACCTGAGCAAGGGGAGCCCTGCCACGATCCCTCCAACARACTGCTCAACCTCATCTCCTGGGAGCTGGAGCCCGATGGAGCCCTGGAGAAATGTCCCTGTGCCAGTGGCCTGAGCTGCCAGCCTCAGAGGTGAGGACAAAGCTGCTTCACACTTGGGAGAGTCTATTGCTGTGGGAAATTGCTACAGAACTTGCACATTCTTGCTCCCTACAGAAGGGTTTGACACCTTTTCTCCTCAGYAGCATTGAAACTTTCTGCTTTGTGGCACTCAGGTGTGCCTCACTGAATTTGGCAACCCATGAATCTGGTGTGAATTAAGGGTGTGAATGAATGAGGCTGGYACAGCTTTTTTCATCAGTCAGTACCACCAGCTGCTGAGATGCATCATTSTGATTTCATTCTCTGCCCACAATTCTTGTCCAGCTTTCTGTGTTAGACTGGGCTTCTGTCAGATGTTTTGCTCACTTTAGAATGTTAAAGGTATTTTAATATGAACTTTTCATAGATCATGCTTTTCATAATTCTTTACCAGGAGTGATTTGAATCATCACCAGTTTCATTGGCAAAAATTGAGATCATTTCAGTTTTGCATTAGAAGCATTTTTAGAAAATCTACATTTTCTCTTAAACAAATTCTCCAGGTTTGCTCCTACCCTGCCAGCATCATATTGACTTCCAACAAGMAATCATAGCTGGGATAGAGATGTAGATTAGTATTTCTGTTTTCTGTGTGCAACTTATTCTACTTTTCATGCTTGAAAAGGAATTGGGTAACGTTTTGTTTCATGAAGGCCACCTAAGGAAGCAAGCAGGGCTGATCCCATCCTTTCAGCTCCAAAATTTTAGCTAATGCACCATTAACCTCAGGGCTCTGTTCAGCAAATGTCAGGTCTGGTTAAGAACAACATTTCAGATGAGGATATAGAAAAACAGGAATTCATTAGGACGTGACTATAGCTGGATTGTCCAGCTCTAGTTCACAGGAATTTTCCATCTGAATTTAAAGTGTCAGGTATCATTTTTTGTTACCTGTTTAATTGAGGGCCACTGCCCTCTCGTGTCCCAGGATCAGTTTGGATTGTTAACTCTTTGTGTGTGGCAATCTCAACTCTCCAGTTGTCAAGCATGTGACAATCGTGTGCAAAGTCAGCTAGGGTAGATCCAGTGTGCATTTAACATGTTTTTATGTGGGGAGGGAACGGAGAATTTCATAAAGAAATATCAGAACACAAAATGATTACTCTTGTGACCTGATGTGTGTTTTTCCAACAGCCACAGAGCTACATCTGTGTGTCAGCTGTCTGCCAACGGAACCCACAACACTGAAAAAGAAGATCCCTTAATCATGGAKGAGATTCCCTTTCTCAGCTTGATCCCCCAGGATCTTCTCTCTGATGATGAGGAAAGCAGTGTCATGCAGGAAGTGCGGAGAGAATTGGAAAGTCTGGAGGACCACACAGCTTTGAAGCCTGGGCCTGACTCAGCTCAGGACCTGGTTTTGGGAGATGAAATCTGAAGCCCAAGCCCCAGTTAGTAATTTCTAGATTTTTTTGTCTAGTGTCTTGCTTGTACAAACCCTGAACAGGCCCTGCTGGATGGAAGTGCAATAAATAAGGTGTTCAGTGAGCATCTTTCTCTGCACCAAACCTGCATGTCCAGCGACGTGGAATCCACTCAATCCTTGGACCAAACCTGCTGTCAGATGGGAACCACATGAGAGTTCTTCTGCATCTGCACTTGCCCCTTGTACGTCAGAAATAAACTTGTACGCATTAAAAAATACAAGCATAAATAATTTTAAGTTACTATAGTAATTGTGTGATTTTTGAATACAGATGTTCAGAATTGTTTTATTTTTCTAGGGTAAGAACCATCTACTTTGACACTGTTGCAATCATTGATTTAAAGGAATTTTTAAAGGAATTTAAAATTTCTTTTCCTTAGAATTGGCTGATGCTTTTAATACACTTTATAGGCATAAATCTGTGCATGCTACAAGATGTGATTATTTTTACCATCTTAAAAGGTCACTGACTTAAGAAATCATAGCAAGCTAAGAGTAAAATCGGACCCATCAAACTGCCCAGCAGTCTCACCTGTTTGCTACCATGGCTCCTCCACTCTTCATGGTTTTCTGGGCTGTAGGTATTTTTTCTCTCTGCTTCAGCAGTCCCTGTTTGTAGGGGCAATGGCAGTTGAATGAAGTTCCTGCCTCGGGGATGGAACCCCCTCTGCTCCCTGCACCCCCTCCCACTGCCCCGGGTCGGCCAAGAGGGGCAGAGCAGTGGGAGAGGAATTTGAGGGAATTGCTCTSTGCAGTGCCTGCTTCTCATTCTCACACACACACAAACACACAGCCTTGCAATTCCAGCACTGCCTTGGGAAACTGTATTGCCATSAAACAATTCCATCATTTTTTAAATAAAAAACACAGCATTTAATGATTAAAATAACACAACAAAATGAACAAATGTTTTATTGGCATGTTCATTGTTGTAAACAGCATCTGGCATGAAAAAGTTTACCAAAATCTTTTGATTGTTATAAATTAGGTGGTTTTTCCAAAAACTATGGAGAATTGTTCTCTATTGATCTTTATGGACCAAAGCAAAAAGTTGCTGTTCCTAGGCTTTGCAATCATGTTGACTTTGCTTTGAAATCATGTTGACTGCATCAGTCTTTGCACCACAGCCTGAACTACCAAGTTCATACATTGAGGTGTTAAGAGGTCGCCCCAATATTTGACTACATATAGCTATGAAATCAACTCTGGGAAAAATAAACTGATTTTCAGCAGGTGGAGAAGATGCAAACTTGTAATAGTCTTAAAWACAAAATGTACAAAAAGTAGCAGAACAGAACAAAAACGTCATTAACAAGGGGAGTACAACCCTAAAGTACCCAGTATCRTCAAACAAAAAATGAATACAAATTGAAACAGGCAACTATACTTGCAAATGTACACAATGAATGTTGATATGTGTAAAGAAATAGCATGGTAAATAGCAGAACTGCAGTTCTGGTAAATGGATAGGGCAGATTTTATTTATTTACACATCGAACGTAAGATACTMGAGCTGCTCATCGGCTTCCGTAACCCATGAAAAACCACTTTACAACCCTCCTGCAAACAAACAACGCCCGCTGGCAGCTYCCTGCAGACACCTCGCAGACCCCGGTTTATGGAAGAAAATTCTAAAAGCTGACACCTGCAGCACTCCCACGTCCAGCCCTTTCCTGCTGCTCTCCCAGAACCAATGTGTTCACGTTTACTCCAGACTCTCTGATGAGGTAATGCGTGTATCAGTGGAACAAACAGAGATAAGGATTCTTTCATGGCCTTTGCACAGCTTTTATTATTAAGCTATGAGTATCCTGTTGGAGGCTAGTTTCACTAGCTACTATGTGCACACTGTCCTCAACAATTTCCACTCGTTTCCCTCCCCGCCCACTTTTGAGTTCTAATCTTTTATTTGCACGTCCCTTWGAGCTTTACAGTACATTTGACTATAGTGCACAACATGATTCCAGGTCAAGCAGGGCCCGGGGGCCCCGCGCTGCCGCCCCGGCCCTGCTGCTGTCAGCGCTTTACACCTAATGAATGTCCTTGCCATAATGGCACTACACAGTAGTAGTGAACCTTTTGATTGGAAACAAAAAAAAATTCCCCAGGGAAAATGCTATAGCAAGTATCAGTCTTGAGTCAAATCTTTATTTGGWGCTCCATCCAGATAAATTTTTAGTGCTTTTTCTTTACGGGGAGAGTAGGTTACTCGGTGTCCAGTTTTCTGGAGTCTGCTGCTTTCTTTTTTCATCAGTTCATTTCTTTGCTCATCTGTTAATTCCATTAATTCTTCAGTTTTATCCCTATAATGTAAACATTTGTTCAAATTCAGATCAATACAGTAACTGTAAGTGGATTTCTGCATTTTTTTTCGCTTGGGGCAACGTGGTAAAAGCCACAACCAAGCATCATACTTCTTAGGGATTGCTTTGTTCTGCAGGAACAAGCARTGTGTCCAAAGTTGCTTTTCCAGCAGAAACATTCAGCATTCTAAGTGACTACAGACCCGGGGGAAGAAACAAACCCATACTCGTGTCTCTCTGACTCCTGTTCTTTACAGACAGCYACAGCTCTGTTCTGTGTTTGGTCACAGTGCCAACATGGGTGTCACCCAGTCCCTACCAGATGTTGTCCCAAGCAATTTTCATTAAGACCAGCACATTATTAACCAGCTGYTTCTCCCCAACTCACACCCAATTAYGAAAAATGCCACAGAAGCAATGTGCCCATGAGGTTGTCCCACCCACCAARTTTAGGAGAAATGCCAACATCCAAGCTCTCAGTGCTCAGCTCCTGACCCGGGGCTACTGCCACCAGCTGATCAACATTTKTCACATTTACAGAATTTTTATTGTRACAGGCTTTTAAGACAGAAGCCATATTAATTTCTCAGAGGAATAAGCTCAGAAAATAAAATCCTTGCTCTCCAAAATGACAGCAAGACTCTCACTGACTCCACATGGGATACGGCTCTATTTTAAGAAATTAAATCCAGATACACACATAGCATAGCAACTCGCTTTAATTTCAGTGGTTTGGGAGGGGGGATTGAGTAAAAGGGTGCAGTGCTTGCTTTCTTAAACTTAATATTCAGGTTCYCCGGAAGCTGAGGAGCACAAATATTTCAGCTGAATGTTTTAAAATCTTTCCTTTAAAGTAACTGAAGAGTATTTTACTTCCCACTCATTGTATCACTCCTCGATTGTTAACTACAGCTTTTTTTTTTGCATGGTTTATTATTCTACAATGAAATACATACCTATAAAATATTACTGCACCATCATCACAAATGTACAGGGGCCAGACATTCAATGTGGACACTTTTGGATTCCAGTCCAAATCTTGGTGAATCTCTAGTATGGAAATGTCGCATGGAAAAGTTCCCCTACCCTGAAAATAACAATTACTTAGTGAATACAGCAAAACTCATAATCACACATCTGTGCCATTGAAGGGTAAAAATACACAAAACCTTACTTACCTTTGCAAATTCTATGTTTTCTAAGGGTATTCCACTTATTTCACTTAGCTGCAAAGAGAAATGGTGGATTTAACACTATTCCAAAGCAACATTACACAGTGTCTACATAAAGTCAAGAGCTGACAAATCTAAAAGTCCAAATATCTGAAAGTCCTCCAAAGTACAAAATTACAGTGACAAGTACACATTTTTAATGTTTCTTCAGTTAACAGTGTGTCACAAGTGATGCTTGCTGTGATAGTATTTCATCACACTTCTCTTAACACTGAAGGAGACCAARAAAGTTTATGGAAACAAGAACATCCAAGTTCCAAGCTACAGAAGCAACTGCCTCATGTGAAACCCTCAGAAGTTTCTCTGTGTGACAAGGAGGCCTTTTTGCAGCCAACCCAGGAGCAGGCACAGCTGTAACTGCACAGCTAAGACTCAGCTCTACTGAGACACATCTGCACTTCCTACCACAACTTAAAAACCAAAACTGCTCCCTGCAATCAATTCTTAAGACAAGTAAGCAAAGGCAGCCATCTCTTTCTYCAGACACAAGTGAGGAGGAATTCTTGACTCCAGGCAAGGACCTGCAGTCATAACTTCACTTCTGCCTGAAGAATACAAGAGAGCAGCCCAAAGCTCAACCTGTGTAAAGCACAAGCCCAGCCTGGGAGCTGACCCCCAAATTTACCAATTCCCAGGGGCACTGAGACAGAATCTTTGCTGGCATCAACATCCAGGGAGGCCTCCTAACAATTGGGTGCTGCCACACATAAATAAACATTTCYCCAAGAGTGGAGCCCTGTGACACACTGGATTAACAGAACAGTCTCAAGAGGAGACACTGCTGGTCCAGATCTCTGCTGGGATCCACAGCTCTGCTCACCTGACTCTGGCTCTGGCCTTAAGGAAAACCAAACCACCCCATAATCCATAATCCTTTCCAACCAAAACACAGCTCARCCCACCTGACACAGCAACAGCACCCCCAGCAACAGCTCACAAATKCACATCAGAGGAGAATGGAAGGGCTGGTATTTTGGAATAACAAGACCTTCGTTTGAAAAAGCACCAAGAGGCAGTATCTTGGCTTGCATTTCACATGTGCTTTTTGAGGATAAAGGGCACAGGTACTATYAAGCTGCTTAAACTTCAAGCTGTGACTTTTTTTGCATGTATTCACCTGAATACTTTTAAACCAGACCATGATGTGAAGCCAAGAATTAAAGCTGATAATTCATGTGGCTTTGGTAATGGGATGGGATAGGTTATCAGTTTTGGGGGGAAAATAATCACCATGCAGCAAGATTTTTGTAGCTATGACAACGTTGTGCATCTCAGCACAGAACATCAATAAGGTCCTTGGTCAACACAAGAAACTTTCATCATGTGACACATTTTACCTTCTCTTTTAATTCTTCGACACTGCTGCTTTCTAGWACTACTTCCTGGAAAGAATCCAATTTCATCTCTGATGGCCTCCATCGTCTGGATAAGACAGCAAGTTGKGACATAGATTTCATCTTCTCTACTCCTAGCAAAGAAAGAGGAATTGATTGTATTAATATCACAAAATATCCTCTTTTAAATTAGGGTTACTCCATATGTTAAACATCCTCTAATATGGAAGACTTCCCKACAGATAAAAACACAAATTAAGTAACTCCCAGTGCTGCAGGTAGTTCACTCATAAAGAAGGGGAGGAGTTAAGGACTGGGATGTATCTGGAGTTTTCCATTATCAGCTCCTTTAAAGGAATTTTCCATGGGCAGAATCTCCTTGAATCCAYAGG